GAATCAAGTTGCTGAGACAGTTGTTGTTGTTGTAAAGTAACATGTAACACGATATCTGAGAAACCAGAATACTCGTGACTGCGGAACATGTTACGCACATCTTCATCGTCTCGCACCTTTAACGGGAAAAAAATGCATTCAACATGACCGCCAAAAAACACTGGATTTTTGTATATTATTTGCCCAACTGGACCACATTGCAGTTTTTTTTTCTATTATTGACTTCAGTGTTTTTGAAATTGTAACCCGATATTTCACATTCGAAAACTTCACCGTTAAGATGTGCGGAAATCGTATATTGTGGTGTTTGAGACATAGCGAAAATTGTGTTTAGAAATACTGGGTGAGAGTTTGAGAGTTTGAGAGATTGAGAGTTTGAGAGTTTGAGACTTTGAGAGTTTGAGAGTTTTAGAGTGTGAACAGATTTTGCTGGGCAAAGAACCCCTGTTTATAATCCACGGATGCATCGTCTTGAAAAGTTATGTCACATGGCTACAGTAACAAGCCGAACACCATATAATAGGTTGAGATTCTTTAAATTATTACACTCTTACTAATTAAAAATATGTTAAACCTAATAACTCCGTTTCTTTGACAAGACAACACATGCATGCCTATCAATGACCCTGCCTGCAGGCCTACGAGATTCTTACTCTGCATGCAGCATGCTTGACAAGACAGGACATTGCTTATCAACTGCACTCTGTCATGCCTATCAATGACCCTCCAGGCCTACGACACTCTTACTAATAAATGTATGTCACATGGCCACAATAACAGTCTGAACATCGTATAATGTATTTTTGAAATTTAATGTTGAATATATTTGCTGCTGCGTTACTTGTAATATTATGTTTGATGCTAAAAATATTATGTTTACATTTATGAAGCCAATATTATTATTACACTGTTACTAATTAAAAATATGTTCAACCTAATAACGAGTAATAAATGTATGTCACATGGCCACAGTAACAAGCAGTTTCTTTGACAAGACAACACATTGCTTCACAACTGAACTGATTCCCTGCATGCCTATAATGACCCTGCCTCCAGGCCTACGAGATTCTTACTCTGTATGCAGCATGCTTGACAAGATAGGACAAGGCAAGACTCTGCGGTTCACATGTGACCCTGCATGCCTACGATGACCCTGCAGGCCTACGAGATTCTTACTCTGTATGCAGCATGCTTGACAAGACAACACATTACTTACCAGCTGCGTGCATAACCAAGACACATGCATTAATACATATGCCCTGCATGCATTTACAAGACACATGCATCAAGATATTTGCCCTGCATGCATAACCATGACACATGCATCAAGACACCTGCCCTGCATGCATAACCAAGACACATGCATTCGTGGGATATAAATAGAGGTTCTTTACCCAGCAAAATCTGCTCACAGTTAAACTCTCAAAGTCTCTCTTCACTCTCAAACTCTCAAACTCTCTCACACTTAAACTCTCAAACTCTCAAATCCTCAAACTCTCTCACACTTAAACTCTCAAACTCTACTCACCCAGTAAATAAATTCGTAAACCACAATGTCTCTACTCACAATGGGCAACTCTCACAGAGGCACGATTGAAAACATCACCGAGTTTGTAAGTTTTTAGTTTTCGTAAGTTTTAATTTTTTAGTTTTTGTCTATTTTTAGTTCTCTTGTAAAACTAACGAAACATTAATTATTTTGCAGGATGCATCAAGGTTTCGATGTCGTGTGCATGATTACATACCACACGACCCCCTCATAGAGGGATACCTTCGTCATTGTGGGTTTGGTGAGGTCATTAAAATCAAATCATACTCGCTCGATGCGAAGTTCATTCTAGCATTGTTAGAACGCTGGAGACCGAAGACACATACATTTCACCTACCTTTTGGTGAGTGCACTGTGACTCTTCAAGATGTATATATGTTGCTCGGCCTACACATCAATGGTAAGGCCGTCAACGGCAAAGTTGGTGTTAACGACCAACTTTGCGAAGATTTATTGGGCACCCCTCTTTGTGTGGACGCAACTCAGGCGGAACGCGAGGGCCGCCCGAGGGGTCAGGGAATAAATCTAAAATACCTCAGAGAACAATACAAGAATATTGTCTTAAGTGAGGGTAGCACCGAATATGACAAAATAGTCAAAACACGGTGCTATATTATGATTTTGTTTGGTCACTTTTTATTTCCAGAGGGCACTGGAAATAACGTAAATATTATGTATTTACCATTATTACAAAATATAAACAAAGTGTGTGAATATAGTTGGGGATCAACTATCCTCACCCATCTGTATAGTGAACTTTGCAAAAATTCCAAAAAAAAATCATGTACTTTTTATGGTTGTGCCTATCTCCTACAAGCGTGGGGTTGGTCTATGATGCCAACGCTTGCTCCAATAAACCAGAATCCTTTTACATTCCCGTACGCCAACAAGTAAGTTTCTTTTCAAGACTAGTTAGCAACCAAATTTTCTTTGTAAGTTAATAATTTGTGAGATGTGTTTTAGATGCTAACTTATATGTGTTTCTTTTTTTTAGGTGGTCTGTTCCTGGGATAAATTATCAGAGGTGTCCCAGGCACTCTTTAATTCAATACCGGAACCTCATCGACCATCTTGGGCCAAATGATGTAAGTTATATACCTTTAATTTGTCTAACTTATATGCATAAACTTGTCTATCTTTGTCTGACTAAATGTATCCACCTTTATTGTAGTTTGTCTGGATGCCGTACGAGGGTCTCGACCACCAGCCCGACCCCAATGCTGCTGCTGTGTGGACATCAACAACACCCATCATTAGGTTCACTACGGTGGAGATGCACCAAAGTGACAGGGTGAAGCTGCAATTTGGGATGCATCAGGATATTCCAGATGCTCTAACATCATTGGGACAGTGGCATCAGCAACGGGTGAACTCACAGTGAAGTGTCAGTCATTGGAAGGAGTTTGCAAAGGAGATGTGTCAACACTGGAAGAACAGAAGGCAATACATCTTGACCGACCAAATTGTGGCAAGGGCTGGGCCAAGTTATCAATATATGACTTGGTTTAGGTTAGTCACAACACCTTAGCCAATTCTGTCTGAGCCATGTTATTTGATTGACCCAAGGCAACACGCTTCTTCGTCAAACACACAACAACAACCCAATGCCCAACAACAACAACATCCTTAATGCCACCCACCCAGTCCCAACACCAACCATCATACCAATATGACCCTGATACGTCTTTTGAGCCTACCCCTACCACATATAGCCTAGACAACTCATTTGACCCTACCCCCTCCAACTATCCCTCCAACTATCCACTATTTGACTACCAAACCCCACAACAACCAACACACAATTTCCAACCCAATTCGATGTACGACTTCGGACAACTATACCGTTCATACTCCACCCAACCTCTCCGACAATCCTACGAAAACATGGGCATTGGGCTTAACTACGGAAGCGCCGTTGATAGTGGACCTCCCAACTATTGAAGTCAAATGCTTCAAAAATCTATCTAATACGCCGGAGCCGTCCCAACAAAACCCTCCTCCACAACTCAACACACAAAGACCGGCAACACCACAACAACCTCGTCGTAGACCTCGTCGCAACGCGCATCCCCCATAATGTGGCACCAGTGGTCGCTTGGATAGAGCCGACCATTAATTTTTTTTTTGTTCAATTGTAATTTTCATTATATTGTAAATTAATATATTTTAGTATTTTTTACATTTCTATATTTTTTTAGTGTTATTTAAATTTCAATTAATTATGAAAAACAAACAACATAATTTAATAACAAATATTTATTAATACATAATTAAAATATTTATAAATTTAATAACAAATTTAATGTTATTATCATTAAAATAACTAAAATAATTAAAATAATTAAAATAATTAAAATTAAAAATTAAAAATAAAATTGGCCTAACAATTAAAATTAAAATAAAAAATAATTAAAATTAAAAATTAAAATATTGATTAAAAATAAGAAAAAACGGAGACCTTAACAATTGGCCTGCGTCGCCATTCACATTGGCGAATCTGCTTAGCATCAACACTATCGCATTCCATTTGGCGACTTCACTTCAGCCCAAAATTCCATTTTCACTAAGTCGCCAATCCTAATGGCGACAGAAGGTTGAAACGTGGTCTTGACTTTTATTTGGTAAATTTAAAACGATAGTTGGTTATTCAAAAAAATTCACTGAGTTACCTTTTTATACATTTTTTTTATGGAAATCGTGGTGATTAAGTGGAAAGAGTTTGGATTGAATTCTCCTGCCATAATAATATTTATTTTGTTTAATTAGTTTATCATTGACCAATCATGGATTTATTTTGTTTATTTAACTCATCCTTGACCCATCAATAATTTATTAGTCAATATTATTTAATTTAATAATTATCAATTACATAAAATTAAATAATATTATTAATTAGTTTTTCAATTTAAAAATATAACATGACATTTTATGATGTGATGCCACATACACACATAGGGTGAAAATAAGTTAGACTAGACTAGGCTTTAGAAGTTTTAAGCCTGACTTATGATTTATTATAAATTTTTTGTTTGTCTGACCTAACCTTTTCAAAAGCATGATTTGGCCTGAAGGTTTATTTAAAAACTTATTTTTTATTAAAATTTTTAATTAATTCATACTATTTAATATATACCAACTTATTTAACATTAAAACATATGAAATACGGTATATGGCAACTGTGTTAAAATTCTAGTGTCATTATAGCATTCCTTTTTATTACATGACCTGAGCTTACATAAATTATAGCGACTTTACATAGACTATAGCATACACAACATCATCAGTTTTTGTGAAGGATAAAAATGAATTTTCACTCAAAAAAAAATTAAAATCAAATAATTAAACGACGACACAGCATCATATAAGTCAACTCTGGTTGAATTTTGAAGAAGGAAATTCTACTTGGTTTGTTAGAATTTTCTATTCATTCGTTGATCTCTCGGAACCGCCATGGCTTCTTCTAGCAACAACTCCTCTCTCCGAGTCTGTAAATACGACGTGTTCATCAGTTTCCGAGGCCCCGACAGTCGCAACACTTTCATCGATCATCTGTATCACCATCTTATCAGAAAAGGTATTTCCGTCTTCAAGGACGATCACACCCTCCTGAAAGGAGAATCCATTTCCCCGCAGCTTCTACAAGCAATTCGAAACTCTAGGGTTTCTCTAGTTGTTTTCTCACGAAATTATCCTCAGTCAACATGGTGTTTGAATGAAATGGCTGCTGTTGCTGAATGCCACAGAGAATTGAAACAAACCGTTATCCCGATTTTCTACGGTATCAATCCATCTCATGTTCGAAACCACACTGGGGTTTACAAAATTGGTTTTAATAATTCAAACAAGAAGTTCAAATATGACCCAGCAGAGGTTGATCGATGGGAGAGAGCTATGACTGAATTGGCCAATTTGGTTGGATTTGATCTTAGAGATAAGTAAGTCAATAACTACACTTCTATTTTCCCAATTATGACCAAAATCTAATCAACATGGTTTTTTTATAGTTGTCGCAATAACCGTTACGCATAGCGATTCTTGATCAGTGCTTCATAGCTGCTTGCCATATCAACTTTTATCGTCCAATTTGCACTCTTTTTCTACAACAAGCTATACACAATTTATTAATATATCCTCTAGTAATTTAAAGTCATAATTTAGTTTAGTGTCCTTGTTTTTCCCCTTTCAGGCCAGAGTTTACAGAGATTGAAAAAATTGTTCAGGCAGTAATAAAGACATTGAATCATAAATTCTCAGGGTTAAACAACGATCTTGTTGGGATGCAACCTCGTGTAGAAGAATTAGAAAAGATTCTAAAATTGAACTCAAAAGATGATGATTTTCGAGTTCTGGGAATTTGGGGGATGGGTGGAGTAGGAAAGACAACTCATGCTACTGCTTTATACGACAGAATCTCTTATCAGTTTGATGCTCGTTGTTTTATTAATAACACAAGCAAACTTTATATGGATGGTGGTGTCGTTGCTGTACAAAAACAAATTCTTCGTCAAACTCTAGACGAAAGAAATCTAGACTCATATGATACTTGTGAAATTGCTGGGATTATGTTAAATAGGCTTCACAGTGGCATTAAGGTCCTTATAGTTCTCGACAATGTTGATCAATTAGAGCAATTGCAGGAATTGGGCATAAATCCTAAACTACTTTGGAGTGGTAGTAGAATAATCATAACCACAAGGGATGAGCATATTCTAAGAGTATATGGGGCAGATACAATACACAAAGTTCCCATGTTGAATACTAATGATGCCTGTGAACTTTTTTGTAGAAGAGCCTTCAAAGGTGAAAACCAAAGCAGAAACTGTGTTGGGTTGATTCCAGAGATACTAAAATATGCTCAAAATCTTCCATTAGCAATTAAAGTAGTGGGCTCTTTCCTGTGTACCCGAGATGCTACTCAGTGGACAGATGCTTTGGATAGATTGAAGAACAATCCAGACAGTAAAATTATGGATGTGCTTCAGATGAGTGTTGATGGACTACAACATGAGGAGAAGGAAATATTTTTGCACATTGCTTGTTTCTTTAAAGGGGAGAGGGAAGTTTATGTCAAGCGAATCTTAGATGCCTGTGGACTGCACCCTCACATTGGGATTCAGAGGATCCTTGAGAAATCTCTAATTACCATTAAAAACCAGGAGATTCATATGCATGATATGTTACAAAGTTTAGGGAAGAAAATCGCCCGGCACCAATTTCCCGAAGAGCCAGGATCATGGAGTAGATTATGGCAATACCATGATTTCTATCAAGTGTTGGAAACAGAAACGGTAACATTTATATTTCCAAAACTAGGGGTGCAATTTATACTTTTTGAGTGAATTTAACTTGTGTGGGGTTTTGTGGGGAAAATGACAATTTTAGCATTCATTTCTGATTCTACGTTATTTATTTGTTGGTTTATATCCATGAATCTGTTAGACCTTCAGAATTACTAGGAAATAAAATAGAACGTGGTTGTTCTATTATGCCAGTTACAAGCATATGAGCAGTCTTATTAAATGTTATTTGTAGCAGTTAGAGAGTCTAAGAGCAGCCATTAGTATTATTAGAGTAACAATTATTATTACAAGGAGAAGTTACAAAACTCAGGTAGAATAAAAAGGAAAACAGAACCATGTTCTAGGGGACTGAAAATTAGAAAGAGGTTATATTTGAGAGGAAGAGACCAAACTCTCGAATTCTTGGAAGGAATAGAACCAAGACTCTCGAATTTCTTGAAACTCATTGTAATTACTCTTCAATTTTATTGTTCATATATTAGTTTCTATCAACTGGTATCAGAGCAGTTTCCTTCTGGGACTGCTTTATGGTATCTACGCGAGGGGAAATGGAGGCCAGATTGGAAATTCTTGAACGTGGATTTAAAGCGTTGTTAGCAATGAAAGAAACAATGGAGAAACAACGCGAAGAAGACTGTGTTGAGCAAAGAGAGGTTAGGCGACAAATGACGGAATTAGTCGAAAGTGTTCGTCGCATGAGGCACCAAAGTTCAGCAGGATCACAACACAGCGAGGACCAAACTGATGAAGAGGATGTGTCTGTGAATCATCGACATCCACGGTCCTGCAAAGAAAGATGGCGAAAGTTGGAAATTCCAATTTTTGAAGGTACTGATGCATATGGTTGGTTGAACCGTGCCGAGCTTTATTTTGACCTGAAGCTAGTGGACGAAACAGAGAGACTGCAGGCAGCGTTGGTAGCCATAGAGGGAAAAGCACTTGCTTGGTACCAATGGTGGGAGGTGTTGTCACCAAACTCGACTTGGGAGGAATTCAAAACAGCAATCCTTAAATGTTTTCAACCCTCAATGATCCAAAGTCCCTTTGAATTGTTGCTGAGTCTCAAACAAACAGGAACAGTGGAAGAATATAGAGAGCAATTTGAGCTATATGCAGGCCCCTGAAAAGTGCTGAGCCCTCTTACGTAAAAGGAACTTTTTTGAATGGACTCAAAGATGTGATAAGGGCTGAACTAAAGCTTCGTCCAGTTGAAAGATTATCTGAATTAATGGATTATGCACAAAGGATGGATGAGAAAAATAGCTTGTAGAATAAAGGGAATGGTGAAACAAATTCTGGTGGTGAACCAACCTTCAAAAACTATGACAATAGCAGGGCTGTGACATGTGATCCTGGAAGTAAAAGTCATCCACAAACTGTTTTCAGTGCTGCAAGTTCCACATGTGAGGCAAATCAGTCACAACCAAATTTTTTCAAAGGCAAAGGCTTTAGAAGGTTGACAGATAATTGCAAGATAAATCACTTAAAGGATTATGTTTCCGATGTGATGAGAAGTTTAGCCCTGAACATGTATGTGTAAACAAAAAATTTCAAGTCTTGCTATTCGAGGAAAATGTGGAAGATGAGAACTATGGTGAGAAACCCAAAGAAGTGGGGTGTGAATTCAAGTTTTGGGACCCCGGGGGACACTTGGACAAGGCGAATCTTTAGGGGGTAGTATTGTTAGACCTTCAGAATTACTAGGAATCTAAATAGAATGTGGCTGTTCTATCATGTCAGTTACAAGTATATGAGCAGTGTTATTAAATGTTATCTGTAGCAGTTAGAGAGTATAAGAGCAGCCATTAGTATTATTTGAGTAACAATTATTATTATTAGGAGCAGTTACAAAACTCAGGTAGAATAAAAAGGGAAACAGAACCATGTTCTAGGGGACTGAAAATTAGAAAGAGGTTATACTTGAGAGGGAGAGACTAAGCTCTTGAATTCTTGGAAGGGAGATAACCAAGACTCTCGAATTTCTTGGAAACTTATTGTAATTACTCTTAAAATTTGTTGTTTATATATTAGATTCTCTTAAAATACAAGAGACTAAGAGACATTTGAATAAACTGTGTGTTTTGAAAAGTACTACGGAGACATTATTATATATAAATAGATTACAACTAATTACATGATATAGTCGATGTGAGACTATTTTATATACAAATATTCTTAACACTATATATTTACAAATATCAACACTCCCCCTCAAGCTTGAGCATATAAGTCAAATTCACCAAGCTTGTTACATATATAATTAGTTTTGGGGCTTCGTAGGGATTTTGTAAACACATCTGCCAATTGATCATTAGAGTTGACAAAGCTTGTGACGATGTCGCCTGACTCGATCTTCTCTCTGACAAAGTGACAGTCTATCTCAATATGTTTGGTTCTCTCATGAAAGACTGAATTTGAAGCAATGTGCAATGCAGCTTGATTATCACAAATAAGTGTCATTGGTCTTGCTTCTTTAATTTGAAGTTCCTTGAGCAACTGTTTTAACCAAATAAGTTCACATGTTGCCATTGCCATTGCCATGACCCTATACTTTGCTTCGGCGCTTGATCTTGCAACTACATTTCGTTTCTTACTTTTCCAGGATATAAGGCTTCCTCCAACAAGTACACAATACCCAGAGGTGGATCGTCTATCAATGGGTGACCCTGCCCAATCAGCATCGAAGTATCCAATTATCTGGTTATGTCCTTTATCCTCATACACACGACCTTTTCCTGGAGCACATTTGATGTATCTCAGAATCCGGATAACAGCATCCATGTGTTCCTGACAAGGGGAATTTAAGAACTGGCTTACCACACTGACTGCAAAAGAAATGTCCGGACGAGTGACTGTGAGATAATTCAACTTTTCAACCAATCTCTTATACCTTCCTGAGTCAAATAGAGGCTCCCCCTGATTGGGTAGTAGTTTAACACTTGAATCCATAGTAGTATCGACTGGTTTAGCATTTAACAAACTTGTTTCTTCCAAAATATACATAGCATATTTCCGCTGAGAAAACACCAAACCATCTTTGGATTCAGCTACTTCAATACCCAAGAGATAACGGAGTTTACCAAGATCTTTTGTCTGAAATTGTTTCGAGAGATGTTGTTTCAACTGGAGTATTTCCTGCTGATCACTACCAGTTATGACAATGTCATCTACATACACAATAACATAAATACACCCTTGGGGTGAGTGACGATAAAAAACAGAATGGTCAACTTCACTAGGGATCATACCAAATTGTTGTACTACAGTGCTGAATCTGGCAAACCAAGCTCTCGGAGATTGCTTAAGACCACAAAGAGACCTGTGTAGCCTACAAACCATATTCGATGACTACCCCTGAGCAACAAACTCAGGTGGTTGCTCTATATATACTTCTTCTTTAAGACCACCATGTACGAATGCATTTTTATGTCAAGTTGATGAAGAGATCAATGTCGAATAGCTGCAATGGCTAGAAGAAGTTTAATAGATGCCATCTTGGCTACAGGCGAAAAGGTATCACTATAATCCAACTCAAAAATTTGAGTGTATCCTTTGGCTAACAAACGAGCTTTAAATCGATCAATCTTACCATCTGGACCAACCTTCATTGTATAAAGCCAACGACAACCTACTAAAGATTTTCCATGGGGTAGAGGAACCAGCTCCCAGGTACCACTGCTTTGAAGAGCACACATTTCATCAATCATTGCTTGCCTCCACTCAGGGTGAGATAATGCTTCACTTGGAGTTTTAGGAATAGAAACAGAAGACAAAGAAGACAAACAAGTATACTGCAAAGGGGAAAGACGATGATAACATAAATCAATATAATGAGAAGAAAAATTTCGTGTTTGACGTATACCTTTTCGAAGGGCAATCGGAAGATCGGACTCAGGTTGCAGGATCGGATCCGGTGATGGCGAAAGTGTCGGAGGAGAGTCCGTAGTGACCTTAGGACAGGTACAACTTCAGGGACAGATACGACTTCAGGGACAAGTATGACAGACGTTTGGTGACGACGCTGATATGTTTGAAGTGGGCAAGGAGTGGGGGGGTCAACCGTAGGGGTATCTAGTGGGTCAGGTTCCCTAGAATGATGGGGGATAATGACAGATGAGACTTCCGGAAGAGGTGTGAGAATACTTTCCTGTAGAGGTTCCTTAGTTACTTGGCTGGACTCGAAATGTGGAATAGACTGGAAGATGGTAACATCGGCCGATACGAGGTATCGTTGTAGAGTATGTGAGTAGCAACGATAACCCTTTTGGGATCGGTGATAGTCAAGAAAGACACACTTTAGTGATCGAGCTGATAGTTTATCAAGACCAGGGGAGAGATTGTGTACAAAACACGTAGATGCGAAGACTCGAGGAGGAATTGGATGGAGTGGAGAGTTTGGAAACAAGATTGAATGATGGATTTTATTATTAAGGACAGATGATGGCATGCGATTTATGAGGTAACATGCCGTGAGCACCGCATCTCCCCAAAACCGGAGAGGAACATTACCATGGAGAAGTAGGGTCCGAGTGGTTTCTACGAGGTGCCAATTTTTGCGTTCGGCTACCCCGTTTTGTTGGGGTGTATGAGGGCAGGATGTTTGGTGCAAAATACCATTGGATGACATAAATGTTTGAAATTGTTGGGATAAATATTCACGTGCATTGTCACTTCTTAAGGTACGAATAGACAAACCAAGTTGGGTTCTTATTTCTCGATAAAATTGTTCAAAAATGGAAAACAATTCAGATCTATTCTTCATTAAAAATAGCCACGTGCAATGTGAAAAATCATCAAAAAAGGTGACAAAATACCTAGACTCAAGAGTAGAGACAGTACGCGAGGGACCCCAAACATCGGTGTGAACTAAAGCAAAAGGGGACGAAGCTCGTTTGTTGACTCGATTGGGAAATTGACTACGAGTGTGTTTCCCTAACTGGCACGACTCACAATGTAAATTAGATACCTTCGATAAATTTGACACCAACTTATGTAATTTGGAAAGACTGGGATGACCTAACTGAACATGGATAGTGAGTGGAGAATCTTTGGTTGAGCATGTCTGAGATGATAATGAGAGGTAGTAAAGGCCTTGAGACTCGTATCCGACGCCAATTGTCTTTCCCGAACTCTGATCCTGCAGGGTAACATTATTGTTGATGAATGTGATACTACAATCAAAAGAATGAGTTAAACGACTAACTTAAAGTAAATTAAATGGACAATTAGGTACATAGAGGACAAAAGTAACAAATAGAAAAGGTAGAATTTGAACAGTACCAATCCCTTCGGATTGGGTTTGAGAACCATTGGCAGAAGTTATAGTAGGTAAGAAACCAGAGGTAGAGAGGGAAGATAACAAATTTTTATTATTACTATTTTTATTATCAGTAACATGATCAGACGCACCAGAATTAAGGACTCAAGGTCGAAGAGGAGATGATTGAGAGAGACAAACAGATGAATTACCAGTGTGTGCTACCGTAGCAGTAGAATCTGAGTTCTGATAATTCTGATACCACCTGAGAAAATCATCGTAGTTTGGCGTAAAGTTCTGAGGAGTAGCTATGACTATTTGAAGAGAGAAAATATCACGCGATCAGTCGCCGGACGTGCTGTCACGTGCGGTTCAGGTGGCGGCGCATGATGCCCACGCGCGGAGACGGAGGTGGCGCGTGTGGGCGCGTGCGGAGGTTTCTGTCGATTAAAAAATTTGCCAGATGGTCGCCGAGAATAGTAGCGACGGCGGCGGCTATGCGGTTATGACCGGAGAATGTTGAAAGTTGATGGTGGGGTCGGCTTTCCGAAACATCGCCGGAAGTTTTGCCGGAACAGTAACGGCAGCAGGGTGGTCACCGGAGAATTTTGAAAAGTGAGGCAAACCGAGTGACAACACGGTTTGCAAAAAAAAAATTAAAAAAATTTCTCACCGGAAGACCGTGGGTCACTCCGGTAAAGCACGGCGAAGAAAGAATTGTCTCTTAGCAGGCTCTAGATATCATGTTAAAATACAAGAGACTAAGAGACATTTGAATAAACCGTGTGTTTTGAAAAACACTACGGAGACATTATTATATATAGATAGATTACAACTAATTATATGATATAGTCGATGTGAGATTATTCTATATACAAATATTCTTAACACTATATATATGTTTACAAATATCAAGAGTCTCTATTAGAATCATTGCAAAAGCTGTTTTTGCTCATCATAATAGTGTTTTAATATCTATCATTAGTTTAGTTTTAGTCTATACTATTTCACCAGAGTGGAATTAATTCCGGAACATGTGACTAATTTAAACATTAACAATTTTTTGTTTGTTTGAGGAACATGGACAAGTAACAGAAGAAGGACCAAAAACAACCAAGTGATTGGACTCAAGTGGTTAATGAATTTTAGTTAAGGATGAATTGTTTGGGAGAATCCGAGTTTGAATATTGTTTAAAACAATCACTGGCTAAACTTTACTTACCCCCTGGCCAAACTCTGGATGATGAGGTCCCTTTCCCCTTGAAACGAAGGGTAAAGACAAAAAAAGAGAGACAAGAAACAAAATAATAAGGAACATTTTTTTGTCTCTGATGATTCATGATTAAAACTAACCAAAGATTTTTGTAAGGAATGAACTGAAAATGGTTACATTTATAGCAACTAAAATGTTATTTCAGCTATTTTTATTGTAAGTGAAATATTATGTCGAGCTCACTTTATTCTGGTGGTACCAATATGGGATTTCATTTAATTATATAAAAGATGTTAAAAATAAAGTATATAGCATTATGTTACAATTCATGGTTAGCAAATAGTTCACTCTGTCCTAACTCGTCTGAGGCATTCTAATGTAGTGACTAGTGACGTATCGGTTAGTAAGGATGACTAGTCCTCAAGTCGTTGATCTTATGCCTTCATGTATTGTTATAGAAGTTATTAATGATATGGCATAAGTTTGTTTCTTTAATAATAAAACATTATGTTACAATTCCTAGGTGGTAGTCAATGGAGATGAGTAAGGCACCCTGAAAAATTCAGAGGTTTGTGTATCTACTCACTTCTTTGAGGGAGATAAATGTAATTACAACTCTGTGAGGGCTCAGAATAGTTTTTGAGCCAATAGGTATTCTCTGCCTTGTACCTTTGATCTGGTAGCATCCTTTACCATGATTTTCCTTTCATAAAATAACAATTTGTTGCTAAAATTTGCTTTATGCCAAATATATATTTTGTTTTTGAAGAGTTTTTTTCTTTAATTTTTATATATTATCATTTTGATAATCTTTTGGTTATCACAATTTTACCAAACTTTCCTAGAATAACAACATCATATGACATATAGTAGATTTCAATTAACATTCATACTGGAAACTTGTTTTTAATAAACAACTTAAAGAAAACCAAATACTATGTAGTTTTTACATTACACAGTTATTTAAACACAGTTTGATTCCATGATTTTCTTATTCCATTAAAATTTTAACATTGTAGTATGGGGTATTTTGGTAATTTTTTGTTTCTAAAATGGTTAGGTCAAGTAATTTGATTTTTTTTTCTGCCTCTGTTATGCTTACTCTCTTCTTTTCTCAGGGAACAAACAATGTTAAAGCTATAGTTCTGGATCAAAAGGAAAGTTTCTCCAAATGCAGGGCTGAAGGATTTTCAAATATGAGGAACCTTGCACTTCTCATATTGTATCATAACAACTTTTCAAGAAATTTGGATTTTCTTTCCAACAACTTGCGATATCTTCTGTGGCATGGATACCCTTTTACTTCTTTGCCCTCAAATTTTGAGCCATATTATCTTGTGGAATTGAATATGCCTGATAGTAGCATTGAACGACTGTGGGAAGGCCGCGTGGTACTTTAACTATTATTACATTTCTATTATTATTACATTTCCTTATGAGTCCACATTAGACAATATATCGCCTGAACATGTGCTTATAAGATGAGGCAATCCTCCCCTTACAAGCCAATTTTGTAAGGATGAGTTAGGCCCAACCTGCACATTCTAAGATGGTATCAGAGTCTCGTTCAATCCTGGGAGTGATAAAAGGTATTAAGAGTCCCACATCGGACAATATATGGCCTGAACACGTGTTTATAAATGGAGGCAATCGTCACTCTACAAGCCGGTTTTATAGGGATGAATTAGGCCCAACCCACACATTCTAAGACATTTCAACACTAATTTATTTATTAAATTATTTATTAAGTTGACTTCTTATTTATTAAACTTGCATGAGAATTTTTTAAATTTTGCATTTACTTGGAAAGCACACCACAACAAATTAATGAAATTCATGCTTTAACGGAAAATCTTTATTGATAGGTGCTATTTCTCTTTACAGGATCTCCCTTATTTGAAAAGTATAGATGTGAGCAATTCCAAGCATCTTAGAGAGACTCCAAAGTTCTTTTGGACCCCAAAACTAGAGCGTCTAGATTTTACAGGATGCACAAACTTAATACAGGTCCATCCATCAATTGGACATCTTACAGAACTTGTTTTCTTAAGTTTGCAAAACTGCAGCAGTTTGGTCGACCTCGATTTTGGTAGTGTATTAAATTTAAATTCTTTGAGAGTTCTACGCCTCTGTGGTTGCACAAAACTTGAAAACACGCCAGATTTTACTGGGGCATCAAATCTTGAGTACCTTGATATGGATGGTTGTACAAGTTTATCCAAAGTTCATGAATCTATCGGGGCTCTGTCAAAGCTTAGATTCTTGAGTTTGAGGGATTGCATAATTCTTGCTGGAATACCCAATAGCATTAATACCATGACTTCTCTTATAACTCTAGATTTATACGGCTGCTTGAAACTTAGTACTCTGCCGCTCAGACGGACTTTCCGTTCTTCTAAGATGAAACTTACGACTCCGCCCCTCAGACGGACTTCCAGTTCTTCTCATATGGAATCTTTAATTTTTCTTGATGTAAGCTTTTGCAATCTTCATAAAGTACCTGCTGTTATTGGAGAGCTACGGTGTTTAGAAAGACTAAGTCTACAAGGAAACAACTTTAAGTTTCTACCCTATACTTTCAGTAAGCTTGAAAGTCTGGCATATTTGAACTTGGCTCATTGCCATGAGCTTCAAACTTTTCCACATATAAATACACTAAAAAATTCATCTCTAGGGGGAAGTTATTTTAAAATGACATCGGGATCGCGTGATCATAGGTCAGGATTATATGTTTTCGACTGCCCCAAAGTGAAGTTCTTCATATATAATCCCCAAGAGTATTTTACAAAGTATATTTATCAATGGTTAGAAAGACTTCTTAAGGTCAGTACTTTGCATAACATCCCTCTCTTTAAATTTGTAGGTTAGATAGTTTTTCTCTACCTTTGATATTTGTGTGTTTTTTCTCTAATATATCTTTTGCAATCAAGGTCTACTATGTGGACTTTTAAAATGGTTTCCACTGTTAGGATTATGTATTTATAGTTTTTAGCCAACTGATTGTTATCTGGCAACAGCAAGCCACATCACACATTTTCATAGCAAAAACTTTCCAGATCTGTCTGACCTTTGGTTTTTCACTGGTACCAGGAACCCCGTCACTTTCGGTGTGGCTTTGACATTATTGTTCCTTGGCCTGAAAAAGTTAATTATCTACCCACTAATCCTATTCCAATGTGGTTCCATCACCAATTTAAAGGGCATTCAATAGTAAGGATAGTACAGTCTAATCTGGGTGACGACTGGATTGGCTTTTCCTTTTGTGTAGCATTTGAGGTAAACAACCTTTCTGCAAATTCTGGTTCATCACATGGTTCATTGTCCTCGGAACTGCCACATCCTTTTTATCTTTCTTTTGAAAGTGAACAAACGGAAGAACGCTTTGATATGCCACTTAGTTTGGAATTGGACAAAATTGATGGATCTAAACATCTTTGGGTAATTTATATTTCTCAAGAGCATTGCCACTTTGTGAAAACAGGAGCATGTATCACATTTAAAGCCTGCCCAGGTTTGATCATAATGAAATGGGGATTGCGCGTGCTTGTCGAGAAGAAGGGTGCAGTAAAACTATCTTCTCATGACTCTGAAGAATCTGATGTGCACCATCTTATGTTTGATTATGTGGAAGAAAATATCCGCAGGCATGAGCCTAAAATTCAGCTTCCCTACAATTGGTTGGTTACTGAGGAAGAGGAAGTTGAGAATTCTCAAGCCAAGTCAAAAGAAACTAATCTTTCTAATCTAGGTCTTTAGATATGACAGCCACAGCCAAAACACATCTTCCTTGAACCTTGAGGTAACTATCTCACCTAAACAGCTACACATTATTAAGTAATAATCCATCACCGTTGTTAATTATTAATTAACCATTATTTACAAAAATGATATGAATTACTAGTATTGTGCATCTAACTTTTGTTTACCAAGTTTATCTAAGAATTTCTCTTTATCTAATATTTTTAGGCCTCTTTTATTATTGTTCAATTTTGCCACTCCTTTCATGAAGATGTTAAATTGGAAATCACGGTGCAGCTTGGCTAGCTTGGATCTCGAAGTTAACACAAGGGTCGGTGATTACTAATTATTTTTTGAAGGTCTTTGATTTGGATTGACATTGTACCAACAATGAGGTTAAGGTTCTCTCATGAACTTGATGAGATGAATGAAGACATGATAAATAATAGGCACAGTTATTCTATGTTTGTGAAGGATGAATGTTTTTAATTAGTTGCGATTTGGGACTTCTCTCAACTTCATTTGTCTGGGTTCATAATCTCATGATGGAGAAATTCAGAATGAGACCGTACGAAAAGCTTCCTTCAAATTAGATGGTGATTGTGAAACAATTTGAGAGGCTGCTCAAGTTCAATAGTACAATAAGAGGTGTAGGGGGAACTGAGAAGGAATAATCAATTTCTGGAATTATATTTTTACTTCCTCATTCATTCTGGAATTATAGCTCAATTTCTGGAATAATCCCTTGTTTTGGCCAGTTCTGTTGGCCAGATGTTAGTGAAGCAATTTGAGACGCTACTCAAATTTAATCGTACAATAATAAGAGGTGCAGGGGAATAAATCAATTTCTGGAATTCTAAGCTTGTTGTCAAATGTTTCTTGGCCTATTTCAATAGTTGTGTAATTGGTTGCTGGTTTTGTTTTCTTTGTTTGTCAATAACCTTTTTTGCATTTGGGTTCGTTTTTTGGATGCTGCTTCTTTGGTTTGTATTCTGTCACTCTGACCAAACTCAGTCACATCTTGTGGTTGTTTTAATTGTTTCATATTTATAGCATGTTTGGTTTAGCGGCACGGTAGGGGAAATCACGGTGAAAACTTACGGTAGGATAGAAGCGAAGTTCCACTTTGTAGCTTTCGATTTTTCACGGTGAAATGCTATCTATTCCTGTGGTGGCGGTGAAAAGAAGTTATACCAAACATGCTACTAATGCACATTCATTATGCCTTCTCAGTAAGAGATTTAAATGTTTCATCCGTTTACGTAAAGAAAACATAAGACATGATTAGGCTCGACACAATGACTAATTCTGATCATTGTGTTTGTGAAGAGATTTGAAGATGGTGAGTTAATCACACTGTTGTTATGTGCAGTCCACTTGAGCAAGAATTCAAATTTTCACAAGAGGTCAAAGCATATTGAAGTGATATATTATTGTATATGTGATATGTTGAATTCCAACTAATTACAGTTTGTGAAAATACATAGTGATGACAATTGCTTAAATAATATAATGACTAAATCCTCACCTAAGGACAAATACGGGGTCTATAAAAGAGTTGTTGGAATGGTGAAACCCTCCACCTAAATCTTAAAAGGGGGATTTATGGATTTCCTCTTTAAAAGGAGAGAAAACGGAATAAACCCTATAACAAATCATAAATAAAATAAAAGTACATGAGAAATCATAGTAAACTGAAGGAAAGAAAAAGAGAAAACTTCTTATATTAGAACCACCTATTTGTTGCATGCATTGATTATAAAAGTATCATTTGTTTCATTTCTATAATCATCATGTGAAAATCTTTTGAGAGAAAAACCAAAAGGCGAGATTGTAATAACCATTTTTGTATTCTCATTCATTTATGAAGAAGATAATAGAGTTGTCCATAGGTATCATTGTTATTATTATAGTGCGGGGAAAAGTATTATGATAATCATTCATTGGCCTTCTATAAGGTTTTTTAATTGATATATTTTTTTAACACATATCACGATCCAAAATTTTTTGGTCTTATTTTTCTTTTCTTTTTTCATTATTTATTTTACAGTTCAAATTTTCATTCCGTGTTTTCAGTGTTCTTTGATTCAATGTCAAAAGAAAAACATGATATTTCATGGTTTCTGTTAATATCGAACATGTCAATTGGGTAGTCAAAGACGCTTAAATCATGTCTTGAATCATCAACTTGGTTGTTTCCAATATTGTTCTAAACCTCCAAATTTACAAAACTGTAGTAATGTGGGCTTACTTGGCAAAAATCTACGGGAATTTCTTAATGAACAATATGTATTACTAAGTCACCACGTGAAAATATAAAAAAAAATTTCAAAATTCAGAAATGCATCTTCAGACGCACCCTAAGTCAATTGAAATATGTGAAAAACTACGGAGATGCATCTTCGGAAAATACCTATACATAACGCATCAGAAGTCTTCTTTATCGTCGTTTCATAAAAAATAAATTTTTCTCTAAAATTCTCTCAATATCACATTGTCTCAAAATCAATCAAGCAACATAAAAACTTCTTCAATCAACACCAACTACATCAAAGAGCTCATTCAACTACATCAATTTTAAAGATTCCTCAATTCTTGTAAGATTTTTATTATTGTAAACTTTTTTGAGTTTTTACATAAATTTGTAGAAATTCATGATTAGGTATTGAAATATATAGTTTATGCATGTTTGATAGTTGATACATTATGAGAAATATGTTTCATAGTTAAAAGTAGTGATCAATGCATTATTTTTTGGGTCTTGGTGGACTGCATTAGCGCCATTGACGAAAATGAAAGTTGCAGGAAAATCCGGAGATACTTCTCTGTGTTTTTTCAATGTTTGAATTTTTAGGAATCGAAGATGCATCTCCGTATTTTATCAGTCTTCGTTTTTTTATTTTCTTGCTTGTAGTAATTGTGACACTTGTCTGGTTTACGTACAGACATTATGACCGACAGAAATGACAGATTGAGTCACGACAAGATTGCACAACATACATCTGTCCAAAGGAAAAAAAGTCAGGTTTCATAGGCTTCTACTCCCTCTAGCCTAGTTGATGCGGAGGCGTCGACTTCCGAGGCTCATATTTGTCCATCTTCTTCTTCCCATAGGAGATGGTTTGCAAGAACAAGATTTGGTTATGTATCTGGCCTTTAGTTTTAATGATAACAATACATTATTTCTTAGAGAATAATTTTGTACCCAAATGGTTTTGTCAAGTGTGTAGCTTTTTCTAACACGTTTTGACTATGAAGTTTTAGCGTGTGTCGTCATCATATTCTGGACTCAACACAATGTGACTCTGAAGAGATACAAATGCACGCTTTATAAGGTTAAGTTAAGTTCTGAAATACTCTTAGACAACGGTTCTGATGAACGTTTGTACTAAAACTTTTCAATGCGACTCTGATATAAGAGCCTCTAAAGGTTTATCAAGCTCTTAATTTTTGAAGATTATGAAGAAGAAGTTTTGAAGAATTCGAAGACTAGATTCTGAAGAACTTTGTCAAGATTCTGAAGACCAAGGTTCTGAAGCCTTTTCCAACCAGACTCTTGATCCTTCTAAACATGCTTCAACAAATTTTACTCAGATGCCTTTGAAGATTAGAAGATAAGATCAAAAGGTTTTATGTGAGAAAAATGGTACATAGTGCAAGATCAAATATCCCTTCCACTACGCTGATTTCATGGAGTAAGGATTATACTATTCTATCATTTTGTCTCCCAACTTTGCAGACCATTATGCAATGTGTCAGCTCATTTGTGAATATTTTCATTCTACCCTCCAATAGATCTTTTCTTTGCCTATATAAAAGAGACTTAGAAGAATGAATAAAGTTGTTAATTCCATTACACTACGTTATCTCACAACACTTTTGCTGAACATATAATTATTGTGAATATAAATAGAAAACACACATAAAGATTTGTTCCTTATTGTGTGATTATTTCATTGTACTTAAACTTTGTGTAATTTGCTTTCTTAAAGCAACTTTGTAAACACAATAATTGTATCTCTTTGTTTGAGATTGTAGTCCTTGAGAGACTAGGGTTTTAGTCAGGATTCTCAACAAGACAAAGACGGGTAGTCTTTGTGTGTTTTTAATCTAGTGTTTATAATGGATTAAGTCCTTATTGAGAAGCAAAAATCACCTTGGAGGATGGACTGGATTACCTTCGTTAATAGTGAATCAGTATAAAAATAATTGTGTTCATTTTTTTACTCTTGGTTCTACTTTGGGTGTTTGGGTACTAAAAAGTTTTAATCTTGGAAACCAAATTCAAACCCCCTTTTCTTGTGTTTCTTGCCACCTTCAATTGGCATCAGAGCCCCGGTTCTGGTATTGATTGCATATCAAACACTTAATCGTGTCAGATAAAGATCTAGTTTTGTGAAACACAATGACAGCTATTCCACCACCTCCTCCTGCTGTAAATGATAGAGATCACTATAGTGCTAAAACTCCTATTTTTGATGGAGAAAGTTTTGATTATTAGAAAGATAAAATATAAAGCTTCTTTCTTGGTCATGACATAGAGCTATGCGATACAGTAGTTGATGGCTACATGCACCTTGTAGATGCTAGCGACAACAAAATTGAAAGAAGAGTGATGACAGATCAACAAAAGAAATATTATAAAAATCATCACAAGGTTAGAACTATCTTGTAGGACGTTGTTGTACCCCAAAATGTTCCCTCATGTTTCTAACCCTAATCGGCTTTTGTTTCTCATACATATGCATTTGTCCACTAGGTCATGAATTCACAATCATTCATTTCAACGAGCTTCTAAGGCATGGAATCAAGAGTTTCTTGTAATTTGGGTTTTCCCTATTCAAGGATGATTTATTTGGCTACTACACTCGAGCTAAAGCAAGAGGTTGAATTCACATCATCATTGAGTCTATCTTTTGTCAAGCATCATCAAGATACAATTCAATCTTCTTCAAGATTTCTCAAGAGCATCAAACACTTAGGGTTTCATCATTGTTGCTATGAGCTAGGGTTTTGTT